TGTAATGGGAATTTGTGGATTTCATTTTTTGAAAATTCTATATTAAATTTCCTCCGCATTTTGATAGCAAATTGATCAACAACTCTCTCATTTATTCACGGATCATCAATTAATTTTTTGAAGACAAAGCTTGTTGTGGGTGTAAAATCATTTTGAATTATTTGAAGTAATACTTTTTTTTGTTTTGAAATTTCTGGATAATAACTTTATGTTTAGAGTCCTTTTGAGAAACAGATACAAATCTTTAGGGTTCCATAAGAGAATCCTTGGAGAGTGTCAGCTTTTCTGATCTTACGTGGCAAGATCCACTGGTGAGTATGGTTATCAATGATGACTCTGATATAGTAATGAATCTGAGAAAGAGGCAGAAGGTTGTTTTTATGGTAATGAATATTTCAATATTACTCGCATTTTTTTCACCATTACTTATCCAATTTTAGGAACCATGTGAAAATATGAGATGTGATATGCCCATTTCAATTACCTTCAAGTGTGATGAGTTCGTGGAGCATTTTGATAATTTGGATATTTCAAGGAATAATAAGAATATTTTTCACAATAAAGCATGGAAAGAGGATGAAACCGATCTGGTAAAAAGAACTGAATGTATTCTAAATGTACCATAAGTAATCTCACTGAAAATTTTTCCTTCATACATAGAACCTCTTTATGTATATATACATTTTTAAAACTAGTGGTGAGATACAGTGCAACCCAGCATTCAAAACCAGTATGTCACACAGTGAGCAAAGTGAAGGGATGTATGTTACTGATGTTGTGGTTCCTTTACTTCAAGCTAGTCTGGAAAATCATTCACATGGTAGTACTTGTTTGAGCATGTAAGTAAATAATTGATAAATAGTGTTTGCAAAAGAAAAACAGATCACTCATCTCTTTTCTTAAATTATAGATCAGAATGCCAGAGTATAGTGAACAAGACTAGAAGAAATTTTGGGGCAAGTGAAACATGGATTGGAAAGGAGCCTGACATCATGGTGATGATGAAGCATAACAAAAAATTATTGAGCTGGCATATGCTGAATGTTCATGTATTGTTGCTACCAAATCAAAAAAAATGGAGGGTAGCATGAAGTTATGGAGGGAGGTATTAGATGGGGCAAGTTTTGTCAGTGAGTTATGTAGACTAACCAACAACCAGTTTGGAATTGTAGGTATTCAAGTTGCTAGCAAGGAAATATACTTAAATGTTCTTATAAATGATGCAAGTGGTATATCCCACTATTTCCACTTTGATCATGTGGAAATTTCTTTAACTTCTGATAAACCATGGTGTGTGAAGCCCTTATTTGCTTATTGTTAACATTTAGGGTATGTATTAGTTTAAATATTCTTTAATAATAGATGATGCTTTATTTCATAAAATTTAGCTGACAAAAACTGAATATATTACTTAGAACATTGTGATTGTAAATGAAAGTCTAGTAGTTCAAGCACTAGATCAGGCTATTACACATCCACCTCTAAACATTCATCCAAGTCCCACCATTTCATCACCACCACATAAATAAATATCAAGGTAATATTGAAAAGCATTATATATTTTTATTATGTAAATTTATTTTTTTCTATATTAGTAAATTGGTTGAGATTTTCATAGATATATTCATTGTAAGAATAAAGTGCCAAAAAAAAATAAGCCAATTAATTCCTATACATATTGAGAATGCCCAAACCAATATTATTTATCTCTAGATATCTACATACCTCTTCATAATCAAATACCTCCTTCACATCTTGTGTCTTCTTATTTATGACAGTTATATGACCTTCATGAATAATGTGATTATATTTATCCCAGCTTTGAAATGTAAATATTGTGCAGGATTTGTAGTAAATCTACCTTGAGTTATTTGTCTGTTATTTCTAGATTTGTGAGACATATCTTATGTATAGCGATCAAAGATTGGGGTGTTACAAATTTCAATAAACACAAACATAGTTGACCACACATATAAAAAATCATATATAAGGATTTTTTATTGGGAAAAATGCAGATCAATTTTATAAATAATAAATAATAATAATAAATAAATAATTCTTATTATTCTTAAGATTGCTTTTGCTGTTTCTTCTCCAAAACTCTCCTCGCTACTCTCACACTTTGTTAAATAAATAAATAAATAATTCATATGAAAAATTAATAATCCAAAGTTTGTTACGCGAATAGTCAGAAAAGATGTTTCCTTTATCGTGATTAATAAAAAAATTTATTCTTGAAAAATTAATAATCCAAAGTTTGTTACGCGAATAGTCAGAAAAGATGTTTCCTTTATTGTGATTAATAAAAAAA